ATTGTATATATATCTACAACTTTATTAAAATCGATTTTTTAATTGTTTTATTAATGAACAATTATTTCGATGAAATTTTGTACATATATGTAATTAGATTTACAATATTTTAAATTTTCATTACATAGATAAAAGTTGAAAAAATCAAGATCTTTATTTTTTTCTTCACAATTCCAAACAATAACAATTTTAAAAAATTATTTATTCGTACATGTAATCTAATTCTTCTAACATATCAAATAAATTCTTTTGTTCCAATTTTAAAAAAGTTATTATGTTTTAAATTATGAACTTTTATTCCTCATTATTTTATGTAATTTTTTATGTAATATATGTAATAATATTATATGTAATATAGTAAAACCAACAGTAAAATGTGCAAAGAGTTTTAACAATCAGAACCAAATAAACAATTATAAGCATGAAATAATTAGAATTAATTATACATCGAGATTGACAACAATTCTCTTGACAAAAATCTCCAAATAAATGAAAAGTGAATACGAAAGTGAAGTGTGAAAGTATAATAGAGTACACAATGTTTATTAATTCGATAAAAATCTTCTACAAAAATCCGAACAATCTCATATATCTGAAATGCATTCGTTCATGATCAGTGGAAGAGTTTGCAAACTATTAGTAAAGTTCGAGTGTCTTTGTTTTCAAGGTCATAGATTTGATGATATCGATGTCACGAGATTCCCAAAACTATGTATAAAATCATGGTATAAATACGCATCTCGTTAGAAAATAACGTAGTTTCAAATCTCGCCCACGAGATCGTATTTCATGCGGAACTTTCCTGGCATCAGTGGAAACCCTTCCTCGTGCATCATCGGTCGTTTCCGGAAGAAGATGATGATAAAAGATGATGATTTGAACTCGATAAATTCGTGGGAAAATATTGCATTAAGATTGATTGCGCATAATGTCAATTAACAAATAATGTTGTTAAAAAAATAATACTTCTGTATATCGTATAAGTATGAATATTCATTTTAGAATTGATATATTATTGAACTGAATTGTTATATTATAGTATATTATAATTATTATATTATTAATATATTTTTTGAATATTTTCGATATTAAAAACATACAAAAGTTGCTAATTCTGGTTTAAAAATGTAATCTTTTTATTTTGGATTAAAATTATGTAAATAAATTAATTATACAAAAGCTTGCCAAATCAAATGATCAAAATACAAAAGACAAAATAAAATAAAAAAAAATCGATTCATTATTAATATTAAAAACATTCTTTATTTCTTTTACATGTGTTTTTTCCATTTAAAATGATAATGTCTTGTAATTTTGTTTAAGTAAAAATATATTATTTTTTTTTAAATTAAAGATTTTATGTAATTTTTCTTTAAATCAAAATATTAAAGATATTAATTAAGTTGAAAACAAAATATTTTAGATTATATGTAATATTTATTTACGATAGCTATAATATAAATTACTTTTGCCTAATTTTTATAACGACTTATAATTTTGCTAGTGTACCTCAATAAATAAGTCTCAAACCATATTTTTGTTTATACCAACTTTTATTTGTTTTGGCCTCTGAAATCGACAGATATATCTTCAATGAATAAATTAATACTTCATATATACAGATTAAATATTTATAAAACTAGAATTTTATTCATTTTCTTTTCTTCTAATGTGAAAAACTAAACAAAATAACAAAATATGTAAAATCGAAATATAAATTTATTTTATCTCGATTTGTCACTTTGTCCAGTCTTTTATTGATGTTTCTACAATTTAATACAAGCAATTATGTCACAACTTTTTAATAACTGATGATTTGTAAGTATTTTTTTTCTTTAAACTGTTAAAATTGTAAAAAAATAATACGAATATTCTTTTTTTTATACTTTCTAATAATTAAAAAAATATTAACTCTCTTTCTATAAACCAAATCTATGTAAAAATTTCATTTAATTTCTATATTGAATTTTTGTTTGATAAAATAAAATGATTTTTTGACTCGAAACACATGACTCTTATGTTCTATAGGAATAGAACAACTCAAAATTTGTAATTTTCAAATTATTGATATGAAAAAAATTATTGTTATTTGCTTTTTTTTATTAATACAATCTTGTAAACATGTTTTTAAATTGAACAATTTAACATTTTGATATGAGATTATTACGATTTAGAATATTTTACGTGATTTTTTCCAAAATTAGATTCTTTTACTTTTTTATCATCGAACTTTGAAGCTCAATATTTATTTAGTCGATAAAAAATAAGAGTTTTCTTTCGAAAAAATAATATATATAATATGTATAATAAACGCAGTTTTATATTGTTGTTAAAGTATCGAATAAAATTAGTCTATATTATATATATTATATATTATAGTCTATATTCTGATTAACTTAAAACTAATGACGCATTACATGCACTCTATACTTCCAATGCTACTCTATATTTCTACTTATTTGATACAACCAATGACGCACCATTTACATCCTTTGTTACGAAAGACAATCGATGAAACATTTTATTTGTCCTATACTGCGATACTTTGTTACATTGCAAGAATGGTGTACTATTTGTAGGTTCATACTACTTCTCTTACACAATCGATGATTCTCTTTCTATACTGCTTGTTCGATACAGAACAAATGACATACCGTGTGCTTTCTATACAATTTATCTGATACGATTGAAAGAAAGAATAAAAATAAAAAAAAATAAAGAAAGGAAAATATTAAAAATAAAGATTTAAATAAATTTAATTATGATAATATAATTATTATATATAAATGAATGAATAAATTATTCATTCATTTATGTAGTGAATAATTTTATGATTTATTCGATGATTTTTTAAATATTTCTATTCAATGTTTTTTTTTAAAATTTAAACTTTATATTTAATATATTAATATTATTTCTTTTGAAAGTTGAAATTTTTTTTAAATTTTAGAATTTTTTTTATTATATTTTATGAAAAGAAGAATATGGATTATCTTTGCGTTTTTCAATTTATTTTTCAATTGGATATCGAATTGGATTTATCCTCTTAATTAATAATACTTAATACTTAATTTTAATAAATAATATTTAATTTTATATTAATTTACTTTATGATGAAAATTAATAATTATTTTGTATTATCATAATATTGAATTTTATATAAATATCTAAAAAATTTATGATAAGATAATAATAAAATAGAATATTTTATTTTTAGAATATCTAATTTCTGGATATTTATTAAGAATTTTTTACATTTACAATCACAATTCAACATTTTATCCGAACTCAATTCTGCTTAATTTTTTATTTTTCAAAGCTATTTCAAAAACTATTTATAATTTTATTATAATATAATCATAATTTAATTTATTAAAATTAAAAAAGAATAAAATAGAATAAAATAAAACGTTAAGTCGCAAAGATTTAAACAAAATCCAAATAAAATTTACTTAAATGTATAATCATAAAAGAATAATCAAAATCATTATGATCACTAATGACACGATTTAAAAGGTCCAAAATGAAACTACAAAAAGAGATAAAGAAAAAAGAAGTTAATATTATTTTTAAGAATGGGATCAAGTTTAATATAATAGAAATTTTGAAGAAATTAAATCACCACTCAAAAGATATCAATGGAACTTAATCTTAAGTGATTAAATTATATTTCAATATTCTTTTTACTTTAGTATATTTTCTATTATCATTTAAAGAGAACTTTCATTACTACTTAATTTTATATATAACAATATGAAAAAAAATAAAAAAAGTAAAATTATAATAATGTATAATAATATATAATTAATGTGTAATAATAAATGTGTAATAATATAATCATTTATATTATGCATAATTATCTTCGATAATTACAAAAAGAATTTAAATTAATAAGTAGTGTTCATCATGAAAAATGCTAGAGTGCTACATAAATTTAATACGAAATTTAATACGAAATAAGTATAAGTTATTTTGTATAATAAAAAAATTTTTGATTAAAAAGAAATAATTTATTTAATTTCAATTTTTTCGAATATAATACGAAATCCACAAAACATATCTCTCAAGATTAAAACATTCATAAAACATCTTTAGAGTTATCAATTCTAAAAAACAACATATAAATAAATAAAAAAGTTGATATATAAAAATATCGATTAAAGTTTATTTATTAAGTTATAAATAATTGAAGTTTGCGTTAGATGAAACAAAAAAAGAATAGAATGCAATTGCAGTGTAACAAAGACAAAACAGTCTCATTCTATTTCTATCTTATTTTATTTAACGCACTTCAATTGCTTACAACTCAACTGACATTTTTGTACACTCACTTTTATATTTATTTTAGTTTTCAAAATCGATTTCTCCAATAATAATTCATATAATTAATACCTTGTAAGAATTCCAATCATAATTAATATAAAATCAATTTTAATTAATAGAAAAGCAATCAATAATAATATATAAAAGTCTTATTTTTCAAAATTATATTAAATTCAAATTCAATCAAAATTCGAATCTATTTGCAAGATACTTGATCTCATCGGTAATCAGTTTCCATCACGATTTCCAATCATATATCTCTACACGTCACATGCGTATTTATCGTGGTCGCTAGTACGAGGTTGCCAAATATAACCAAGAAGCGTGAAACGCGTGCGCCACGATCCTCTTGTAAGAGTAAACCGAACTGGCTTGACCGAGCTAGTCGTCGTGTGGAGCGTTTAAATGTTAAAGCGAGTGGTCGGTTAACTAATGCTTATTCGCTTGCCGAGCTAGTTCATTTCGTGTCACCACAGTAGCTGCTGCTGTGGCAAAGGGCCAACGGAAACAAGTACACGCGTAGGCGATTTGCCTGTTAGATTTGCTTCTAACTTAGGTAAGTTTCATCCTGATATTCATCAAATGAAAGAATTAAATTGAGCCAATAATCTTTATTATGATCTTTATCAAGATTTAAATTAAATTAAAGAAAAATTATATTCAATAATAACTTTTCTGATTCATTGCTTCCTGTTCAGCTACGAAATTAAGACATTAGTCGAAAATTTAGTTTACGTGTTTGTTGTCATCAAAAAGGTTAGTAGCATATTACCATTGATTCCAATTCTCATGTTGCTATTTTTTATTTGTTAGAAAATGATAAATATGATCACACGTTTTGAGTATATACGATTATACGATATAATGATTAACCATTAACAAATCATTCTATATCAATAGAACATAATACATTTACTATCATTGATGAAGCATTATTAATTTAGCAGTTGATATTTTGTATGTTATTTGTCAAAAATGTTTCGATAGTTATCATTAATAATGATAAGAATCGATGAATTATCATTACTCACTTATAATTATGAAAGAAAGTTTATTTTTAATTATGAAAGAAAATTATGAAAAAAAAAGAAATATCGATGTCTCTTTGACACGTTCACTATCAATGTCGAAATATTATTATTGACAAGTAGCATATATTAATATATTAAAAATTATAATATATTAAAAATTATATCAATAAGATAATGATTGTAATTTTAGTATTTTTAGTATTTTTAATATTTTTAGTATACTTTTATAATTTTCATACAACATCAGAGCTTCATTATCAATGTTAGTCAGAGCTTGTGAGCTTATTGATAATTTATCTATAAAATTAGGAATAGGTAATACTGCATATATAATCTTATTAACATTTTCTTGGTGAAATATTAAAAATTTATGCCAGTTGAATGATAAATAATAAATAAATAATAAATAATTAATATCACTGATTTTCTGCTTATGCCAGTTTCAACTTTGTCTAAACATGAAATTATCGAATAATTATTATGCTGATGATTCTTCACAGTGCATTTAAAAGCCGTTAATGCCGCCACCTGATATTGGTAATTCGGTAGATGTTATCTATCGAATCTACGACAGAACAACAATGTCAGCTTTCTCATCGAAATCGTTACAGTACCAAAACAGTAGTTATCGCTACGTGTTGAGACGGTAGCACTGTTTTTAAGTACACATTTGAAACGACAAAATCACTATGTATTTAAGAATTAATTTTGTTTATTTTTAAAACATAAATTTTTAAAATAAAAGAAGTTTTAATTATTTCAATTGTACAATCAAGTTCATGTAAAATAATAAAAAATAAATTAATTAAATATTAAATTATGAGATTTCTATTTATCTCAATTTTTCAAGATTAAAAAATATCTATATAATATTCTATAATATTTTACTATTCATATTAAGCTATTAAAAATATGTATAATTTTTAATCTACTATATCCCAAAGTTTTATGTCAGTTTATGACTGACATAGTAATGCGTTAAATAGATGAGCCTCGTCAAATATAAACATACTAAATAAAAAATCTATCTAAGCTATTTCACAATGATCAAAAAAACTCGAACCAAAACAATCGAAAAGAAAAATCGAAGATTCCTTTTAATTAACATTTTTGCATCGTTGTCAATCGTCGTATATTTGGACGACCCACCAAGATTTAGCTATTTCGCTCATCTAAATATTTCGTTTCATTCGCTACCTCTGAAATCGATGTGCCATTAGACTCGGGCGTGACGTCGAGTTTCGCGTCCAATTCCCTGTTAGGTTGATTATTGCCACGTTGCATCCAAGTTTCCCATCCCTGTCTGGGCCACCAGGACACCTGGTTTCCAGGAAACAACAAGTTCACCTCTCGTTGAGAGAGCATCGTCGACGACGACGAGGACGAAGCCGAGGATGGTCCACCATCAGCCAGACCGCCGCCGCCACGCAAGCACCAGCCTCCAGGATGATCCAGGGTTACAACCGTGTCGTCTCTATTTGGATCGTAGATTCTTAATGATTACGCGACTCTCGTACCGCTCTCACGGACGCATCTTGCCAAGAGTAACGCGTATTTCTAAATCCAGGTTCTCTGATCGATTCTGGGTCAACTGTTGAGACGTTTTTCAGGTTACTTTAATCAACGATGCGTAACTGGCACGAAAAATGTTATCTTCTGTTGGTAAGATGTTTTGTTTATGAAAACAGATATTCTCAAGATAACTATACGAATTATTGTATTAAGTATACACAGTTTAGGATTATTATTGGTTATTGATTATTATTGAGATTCTTATGTATGTTAAGTCTTGACTGTTTAGATCTTTGTATACGAATTGCTTCACATATACAACGTATGTACATATATTAAATGTACATATATTAAGATCCTATTTATCTATTTCTAGATAGATATTTCAAATATACGACGTATTTCAGTAGTTATACACAATTTAGATTTTATCTATATGTATCCAAGATAGGTATATGAATTATTTCAGATATTCCAGTAATTATTGGCGCTTTCGGTCCTATCTATCTGCTTCTTGGATATGTGAATTATTTCGAGTATTCTAATACATACTTCGATTCTTCCTTAAATCTAGATTATTAAATCTCCGATTAGAACATCGATGATATCAATGATTTTGATTTCTTCCACCTGTTCCTAAGTATATGATATATTCAAGTAGTTGTACACATATCACTGAATCAAAAAATTAAGATCTTTCGTGAGAATTCTTCTAGATCTAAAATTCTTCGAATCTCTGGATTATTGATGATCAATGATCAATATCTAATTATTTCCAAAGTACAAATTATTCCAAATATAAAATGTACTTAAGCAGTTATACATATACTTTATTACATACTTCTTTAACAGAAGTGAAGAATAAAATCCTTTAATATAAATCTAAGTTCAGATTTCTGGATCATTTATATTATCAAGATTCTTTTATCTATTTTCAAGATACGAATTATTCCAATAGTTATACACACTTTACATAACACTCAGATGAGACTCTAAATCATCAATCTACCAGAATCTGTTTCCTCTTCCATATCTGTTTCCAATATTCATAATTATTTCAAATACGTATTCCAATAGTTGTACACACTTTGGTATCACCAAATCAATGAAATCCTTTCATTAAATTTAGACCATTCAGATCTTTTCAGAATTATCGATATTACCAGAAGCCAAAGACTACGAATTAATTCAGAGACAACTAAAGTAGTTGTACACACTTCACACTGTGATCAGTGAGATCCTTCGTCGAGTCTAGACCATTCCAGATAAGAATCGTCTTCCTCGTTCGTTCGATCAGAGATTTTCGCGGTCGAATTTGGTCGGAATCGAGACGAATATAGGATGAAGAATTGCTTGCCGTGCGCGGGTCTCAGATTCCGGCGAACCGGCTTCTCTGCCACCGCGTTTCCCGACAAAGATGCGGAGGACGACGGCGTTGCGCTGGCCATCTGGCGCAAACTCGCACTAAAACCGCGGCGAAACCGCGTGACGAGTCCCCCTCGAAAATAGTCGCCGGTCAAAAATAGCCGACGCTGGCTAAGAAAGAAGAATCATCGGCATTTGCTCCGGGTACACGCGTGCTCGCGCTAGTTGCATCGCGGCCTTCTCCAGAAAAGCTGGTTCCTGTGTGCCTCGCGTACCGATTCTCTCTTGTTTCTCTTTCCTTTTTTCTTCTTCTCCTTGACCTCTTCCTACGTGTTATTTTCCTCTTCTTGTTCTTCATATTTTTGTCTCATTTCATTGTTCTTTGTTGTTTTTTTCGATAGATCCGTTTCTCTTTGCTCGTGATGACATATTTATATCCGTTCGACGGTCTATCGAACGAGATGCGCGAGGAAAAACACGGATTATCCTTGCTTTACAGAAATGACAAGAGAAGGAATATTATAAGGATAGAGAGACGCATGATTCATACAATTTATAGTATGTTTTCCTGAAAATTCTTTGGAAACTGGAAATATGTAAATTATTTGATATTCCTTTTTTTTTTTTGATTATTATTTAGTTGCATATAATAGAATATTTGAATATCAATGTAATTTTTTTTATACGAAATTATATAGTTTTATTATTGTTAGCTATAATTTTCAAGCAATGCGTATAATGATTATTTTTAATTAATATCGTGATTATTTTTATAAATATTGCTAATAAATATCAATTTTGGTATTTAATTGTTTATGGCCTAAAAATAGATATATATATAATTTTTATCAATCAAAAAGAAAATTTTAAAATAAAAACAATGTGTTGCAATTGCCTAATATTTCTAATAAAAATAAATAAAAATAATAAGAAAATAAATATCATACATATATATATATGATGCTGGACTGGAAAACAAATACATCACGTAATAAATTAATAATAAATTAAAAAGATTAAAGATATTTTATTGATCAAAAATAGTCGTTATATATAATATTAAATTTGTCTCAAAAATGCAACAATTGATATAAATAAAAAAATATAATAATTACAATTAAAAATATATTGAAAATTATATTGATATTCAAATTTTTTTAAATGAGAAAGGAAAAAACGAAATATTTTATTAAGTTTTCGTGATAAAGTTAAATAATTTCCATATAAAATATTTTTTCATATTTTCATTAGTTTAAGAAATAATAGTGTAATAATATATAAATAATGAATATTGTTCAAGTGATAGTTTGAAAATTTGAGAAAGGATAGTGGCAAAAATACTTGATGTTCGATTAATCATACAAGTTAAAATATGAATAATTTGATTAAATACTATTAAAATATTTAATAGTAAAGAATACTAGTAAAAAATATCAGCTATTTTATTTTGAAGAAATTATTATATACATGCAAAATTTTTATTTCATATATTTATATATGACTTTATACTATACTTATTTATTTTATGTAAAGAATATATTTCAATAATAACTATTTCAATTTTTCAAACTAATTTTTTTATAAATAAATTAATAATTTATATATTAATATAATTTAATTTTTAATCTTCTAACAAAATATTTATTCATTATATATAATTATCTATTATTATTTTGCAAAAGAATTAACTATATCTAATCAATATCAGAATAATTATATCTGATTAAATTGTATCATTAAATTATAAAATTAGATAAGAATCATTAAAATCTCATAAAATTGTATAAGAATTATTAAAATCTCATAAAATTGGATAAGAATCATTAAAATCTCATAATAATTATAATA